CTGCAGGGGGGGTCTCCCCAGAGCGGAGCAGAGGGGGAGAATCCCCTCCCACGCTCTGCTGGCCATGCTGCTCTGGATCCAGCCCAGGATGGGGTTGGTTACACATCAACCGATGCTGTATCCTTTCACTGGAGTTAGAATACAGAGTCCACAGTGCTGCAGTTCTGCTGTTTCATCCCCAAGGGCACAGAATAAAGGAAAAAAAAAAGAAAGAGATCATCCAGCAATATGTGTTTAGCATTCCCACAGCACCACATGCTCTGGGGCTTCTGCTGAAGAATCTTAGCTGAAAGCAGGATGACTTTTCAGGACTACTTAAGAAACATGCTTATTTTACTATTCATCTGAAAGACAAGCCTAAAAGAGATTAGCACCTTCTGTGAGGTCTAAGTGTTGGTTTAATTATTAAGCTTTATGGTCCTGTAACTCAGACTTTGTGAGTTTTCCCAATAAACTTTATTACCTACAACCTACTGTAGTGACAGGACAAGGGGTAACGGGTTTAGACTGAAAGAGGGAGATGGAGATGGGACATCAGGAAGGAATTCTTCCCGCAGAGGGTGGGGGGGCACTGGGACAGGTTCCCAGCGAAGCTGTAGACGCCCCATCCCTGGAAGTGTCCAAGGCCAGGCTGGATGAGGCTTGGAGCAACCTGGTCTAGGGGAAGGTGTCCCTGCCCATGGCAGGGGGTGGGGCTGGGTGGGCTTTAAGGTCCCTTCCAACCCAAACCAGCCTGTGTTTCTACACTCTCACCCTCACGAGCGCAGAGGCCTGGCTTCTGTAGCTCATTATGATGTGAAAACACACAAGACAAGTAGAGAAAGCCTGCAAAGGGAAGCACACGACTGTACCTGTCTAATCTCACCAGTGTTTCTTGGACAAAGCTGCGTGGTGCAAGTTATTTCCAAAACTCGGGGCCTCAGTTACTTAAATAAAACATTATTTAAACTAAATACCATAAAACAGAAAGGAATGAGCCCCAGAGGACCTGCTTCACTCCTCCCTCCCAAGGAAGGAGGTTCATTAACAGAAGTTAGTATGTGAGAAGCTTAGAGAGAACCCAAATATCAAATGCATCAGTGGCTGTGAGTCAAAACTGTTTGTTTATATGTGGTTTTTAGCATTATGCTAAAATTCCAACCTCCCGCACTGAAAGCCAAACACGCTGGCAGGAAGAGCCCTGCTCCAGGCCTGCACAGCTCTAACACCCGCAGGGCCTTACCACTGGAATCCACCGATGGGCTCTGTAAACCTGTGACGGATCAGGAACGTTGCAACAGCTTCAGCAACCTGAGGGAAAGGGAAAAAACCAATCAGTCTGAATTCAAAGGGACATGAAGATAACAAGAAATCCAGACAGTTTGCAAAGCCTGCAGCATTTCCAGCAACAGTTCATGTCCTCGGGATCCTCTTCCTGAATCAAATTTGCCCCTTTGAAACTAAAAACTCTGTATAATAGGATTTTATGGGGGAGAAAAAAAAAAAGGAACTACATAGTTCCACATTTACTCTGACACTGATCTTACAATCAAGAACTGACTAAACTTTTTATCCTCCTCTTTCACTAATTTTTGAAACAGTGCCTCTGTTTAGCAGGGAAAAATAGGTCTGGTGATGCCAACGGTTGGACTTGATGATCTTAAAGGTCTTTTCCACTTAAAGATTCCATGAAATCATGATGCAAGTTATTCCTATAAAGAATAAGTCAAGAGAGTAACCTGAGAGTAGTAATACTGCTTAGAATGTATATTAAAAAGAACAGTAATGTCAGAACTCAGTATGTTTAGATAAAAATCCCTATTTCAGACTGCTAAAGCCCATAAAGGCTGAGTTTTACCCTCGCAGTGGTCAGTGCAGGAAAAGCTTTTAAAGCAGACGTGTTTCCAACCACAGGCTCCATTGGTTGCACCACGTTCCTGCTTCTGTCCTGACACTAACCTCAGCAGAACCCAGAAGCTCAGTCAGTCTGTAAAGCTTCTGCAGCAACACTGGTGTTAGGAAAATGTGAGCCACCCAACTCAGCAAAACACAGACCAACCCCAAAAGCTTCAGCTACAAGGGCGAGTGGAGAACCTCAGGAGGAAATAAATCCACATGGTAAGAGTTAGGTCCATCGCCACTAGCCTGAGAGTTAAATCTGTAACCTAGCCAAGCCCTGTGTCACGTAACATCTTAGCCCAGGCTTTCCAACCCACAACATCGGAAGGATATAGATCGGTGGGAGCGAGTCCAGAGGAGGCCACGGAGATGCTCCGAGGGCTGGAGCCCCTCTGCCATGGGGACAGGCTGGGACAATTGGGCTTGTTCAGCCTGGAGAAGGGAAGGCTCCGGGGAGACCTTATTGCAGCCTTCCAGTACCTGAAGGGGCTACAAGGAAGCTGGGGGGGACTTCTTCCAAGGGCCTGTAGTGACAGGACAAGGGGTGACGGGTTTAAATTGAAAGTGGGGAGTTTTAGATTAGATATCAGGAAGGAATTCTTCCCGCAGAGCGTGGTGAAGCACTGGGACAGGTTGCCCAGAGAAGCTGTGGATGCCCCATCCCTGGAAGTGTCCAAGGCCAGGCTGGATGAGGCTTGGAGAAACCTGGTCTAGTGGAAGGGGTCCCTGTCCATGGCAGGGGGGGTGGAACTAGATGATCTTTAAGGTCCCTTCCAACCCAAAACAGTCTATGATTCTATGATTCCGTGATTCCAGCCAGCTTAAAAATCCAAGCTGTTCTGCAAATAGCCAATCGTGTGAAAAAACGCCCCTGAAATCTCTACTTCCTAGTAGGCAACAGACCCTTTTTGTATTTAAACTGTGAAGACCATGATTTATCTAGTTCCAATCCCAGCGTGGGGCTCACCTTGTCTGGAGCATCCTCATGGACGGCGTGGCCACACTGCGGGAGGACCTGCATCTGAAACTTCCCTGTGGATCAAAAGAGTCAGCACTGGGGTGGTTTTGACTTCTGACAGCAACGGTTGAGGCAAGCAGTTCTTGTGTATGCCGGGAACACCAGACACTACACCCGCACGGTGAATTTATGAACGCTCCTAAAAAGGATCTCGCCTTCTTTACAAACAAACCCCACTAAATCTCGCTGTATTTGGTGAAGAGGGAGCAGGGAAGATGCAGAAATCTAAGGCAAACCACACAATACCCACAGCAGACAGTTTCCAAAGAAAGCAAGAACTGGCTGCTTCATTCATCTTAACCAGAGCAGGTTCCCAGGAGTTAAAACAAAGCTAAACTTCCTGGAGCTTCTCGCCTCAGGCCAGGCTACCTTTCAGAGTCGGAAGTGTCATCAGATCTACCGTAAGGTAATGTCCATCCTGCTACCCAGCACTACTTCCCAGTACTGGTTGCTCTGGAAAATCAATGAAGCTGGAACGAGGGGGGGAAAAAAAACCCAAAATATTAAGGCAGGTGCTGAATCTTGGTCTGATGTCTGCCAGAAACACCAGGAGACCTAGGAACATCAGGAATGTAGTTAGGGAAAAAACAGATTAGGAAGGAGCCCTGACAGTCATTCTCATCCAAGTGTGGCAGCTCCAGTGCTGGAAACACCGACACCAGCCTGAACAAAACCCATGGCAACAGCCCTTCCTAACCTGCACGTGAACCTTTCCTTTCTCAACTTCTCCACCTTTCCTACAACCACAGAGCTCATGAACGCTCTGGGATGCACTAATTCTTTACCACACGTTTGTTTTTATACAGACTGCACGGGGTAAGAGGCCACTCCAGCTCTGTCTCGTTCGGGTACCCATAGCAACAAGCAATCATCCAAAAAGAGCATCACAGGAAGGAGAGAGTAACAGTATTAAATATTTACCTTGCATCTGTCCAATTGTTAGATCTTTATCCAGCCTGTCAACACCTACAACCAAACAAACAGATGTATTGGAGAAAAACCAGAAAGAACATGACTGTCCAAGCAGGGCTTTACTCGGTATTTTGAAAGAGACATTTGGCTTGAAAAAACACAAAAGAAACATCTCTGACACCCACCACAAGGACATTTCACTGCTGCACCTCTGGAGAGTAAAGCAACAGGAAAGAATCTCAGCCAGAAAGGCAAGAACACATCCCCCCCTACAACTTTATCTTGGTTACACACTGTATTTCCTATTTGGGCACCAAAAGGGCCATCAATAATTTGCCTTTCAGTTGAAAAGTTCAAATCATGCCCATGTCTGCAGGAAAACACCGCTGAAGGGCAGCTGGGATCTGTCCTGGTTGCTCTTCCACACCACAGAACAAACACACCCACCCACCAGCTGCAATGCACCGTCTGTCATCATGTGCTATTTTGATATTAGAGGCTCTGAACTAATTCCAGACCCGCACGGATCAAATGGATTGGTTTGTGATATTTCAAGGTGTATAGAAAAGCCAAGGTGGAAGAGACAGGTCTGCTCTTCCCAGAGAAAAGACGTTAGCCAAATGCTGACCCTCTAATATTCCAGTGGAACACCACCGAAGCAAACAGCCACTGAACGTAAACAGGACTGGAAGAGACACGTACCAGCTAAAAGCAAAAGCTTTGGAGTTGGACAGCTCAGGAAGAGGTTAGATAAACCCCTGAACCAGCCATCCCAGTACTTTTCTGTTTTCGCCAGTTCGATTCGCCACGTGTATAAGTGCTCCTTCTTAGTCTGCAGGGAGGAGAGAGCTCTGCATTAGTGATCAGCAAAACAGCGGGAAGAAAACGAACGCAGAGTGCCACTCGATGGATGGATGAGTAAAAAATCCTGGCTCCCCCTGGTGATTACACAATTCCAGGGGATGACCATCCTTGCTCCGAAATTTCTCTCCAAATCACAGCCCAAGCACACGAGGAGGGAGCAAGAAAGTCAGCAGGAGCTACGCCTATAGATGAAGCGAAGGCTGCGGTTTTCAGGGAACGCGCTTTCCTATTTTTGACTGGCACAAATAGCTCACAAATTGCACGTTCAGACCTGGCTCTCACCTAGGTGATACAGGAATACAAGGGGCTAAGCTGGCTACAACCATTTTTCTCGAGGAACTGACATTCCTAGGTTGCAATTGCCTGTAGGACCTCCTGAACGCCTTGGAAAGGAACATAAATACCACAAAAACTCAGGAAAACCCATTCCTCATTCAGGTCAGAAGCCCCATTTCAGGCAGGGGAATTAAATCTGGGAGCACCTCAGGAAAGAAAACCAACACATGCTGTCAGGTAAGAGTCCAAGTTAGAACCAGTGGCACGGGACGAAGAAAAACAGGCAGAGTATAGAGTTTTTGGCCCTTTGAAGTCACTCCCTTTTACATTTGGGTAACTACTGGCAGCTACTCTTGCAGGGGAGCATCGTGCAGATGCAAGCAGAAAACGCAGCAAGAAATTCCCTACCTCTGTGTCATCTTCTTTCTTCCTTTTGTTGACAGAGCCTCCCCCTTCCTCCTCCTCCTCCTCCTCCTCCTCTTCTTCAATAATCCCCTCCACTATGGCTTTAGGACACTCAGGACTGGCGGCCCCTTCGCACCTGTGAAAATAAACCCAGAAATGGAATCCTTGCCAAAACAACAAAAAATTAAGAGGTTTTAACCTAAAGCGTTTAGCAATTTCTCAGATAGGGGATGCAAATATCTGTCTCCAGTTTAAAAGTAGCTGTGGATGAACGATGGTCATGATGAGCCATGGGACCCAGCGCCGGCGCAGCACATGGATCCCAGTGCAAATATAAATGTAAACTAGAGGAGGCAAAAATGGTTCCAAAAAATCAACAGCAGCTTTTCTGAATGGAGCATGAGACGTTTGTCAAGGCTCCGGGTGCGGCCAGGATTAGAGAGGCACAAGCAGGTTACTCTGATCCCCTCAAACCCACCTCAGATCGCTCCCAAATGCAACAGATAATTAAACAACCCCTAAAAGGTCGTGAAAGATGCCACAGCCAGAAGGCCAACATTTCTGAAGAGGCAGCAGACTAAAGCTTATCTCTTCGTGTGTGCAGAAAGGCAGACAAACCAAGGATACACAACCAGCACTAGTTAAAAATTTTTAAAACAAGGCTCTTGGTAGAGTTTCCCCCAGGGAAATTTTGGCCAGGATTTCGCCAAGTGCCACGATTATGATTCGGGGCTGCTGGTAACAACTGTGGTCAAATGGTAAGAAATTTGTGTTTGCTAGGAGAAATTTTCGCTTTCAGGTGCATTTATGCTCTGTAGTAACAGTACTGTAAAACAGAGATTATTTTAATAGATTTGAAAAAACCTCAAACCAAAACCCACTTACTGCTTGACTTGGCCCACCATAGAAACTCTGGCAGATTCAAGATTTCTTATCTGTCCACTTTTGACACTAGAAAAAAAGAAAATCAGAAGGGCAGAAATATTTAATAAACAGCTTTAGGAACTCGCAGGCCCAGAAAAGGAGCAAAAACCCCTTCACAGCTCATGATTTCCCCACAGAGAAGGCTCCGGGGAGACCTCAGAGCACCTTCCAGTGCCTGGGGGGCTACAAGGAAGCTGGGGGGGGCCTTTTCCCAAGGGCAGGGAGTGACAGGACAAGGGGTAACGGGTTTAAATGGAAAGAGGGAGATGGAGATGGGACATCAGGAAGGAATTCTTCCCGCAGAGGGTGAGGAGGCACTGGGACAGGTTCCCAGAGAAGCTGTGGATGCCCCATCCCTGGGAGTGTCCAAGGCCAGGCTGGATGAGGCTTGGAACAACCTGGTCTATGGAAGGGGTCACTGCCCATGGCAGGGGGGTTGGAACTAGATGGTCTTTAAGGTCCCTTCCAACCCAAACTACTCTATGTTTCTATGATAACATGTAAACATTCTATGTTTCTATGATCTTTGAGACCCCTCTCCCTGTCAAATCAGCCAAGGAATTGTCAACAATAGTTGGAGAAATGAGCACGAAAGGAGAAAACAAATTACATAAACTTTGCCTCCTTCCAGAAACAAACTACGAAGTCAAGTGGTTTTGGAGACCACGTAAGCCCACGCGTTACCTCCACTCAATGGCGTTCTCAAGTGACTTGAACGTTTTGGGACGACTCCTTAAGAAGTTCTGCATGCTGTTCAACGCATCCATGGCTGTACCTAAAACCAAGTATTTAAATTTTTGGGGCAGCTGAGGAAATAATTGCCATATCCCTCTGTAGAGAACTGGCTACAAGGGAACACCCTCAGAGAGCTGCAGCTCATTGGGGATTTAACGCTGTTAAATACAACTCATTTACTCCTTGACAGGCTGGAGAGGTGGGACCATGCCAACCTCATGGAGTTCAACAAGGCCAAGTGCAAGGTCCTGCTCCAGGGTTGGGGCAATCCCAAGCACAAGGACAGGCTGGGTGGAGAGTGGATAGAGAGCAGCCCTGAGGAGAAGGACTTGGGGTACTGGGGGATGAAAAGCTGAACATGAGCCGGCCGTGTGCACTGGCAGCCCAGAAAGCCAACCCCATCCTGGGCTGGATCAGGAGAAGTGTGGCCAGGGGGGCGAGGGAGGGGATTCTCCCCCTGTACTCTGCTCTTGTGAGACCCCCCTGGAGTGCTGCATCCAGCTGTGGAGCCCTCAACATCAGAAGGATATTGACCGGTTGGAGCAAGTCCAGAGGAAGCCACGGAGATGATCAGAGGGATAGCTCTCTGCTATGATGAAAGGCTGAGAGAGTTGGGTTCAGCCTGGAGAAGGCTCCAGGGAGAACGCTGGAAGTGTCTAACACCAGGCTGGATGAAGCTTGGAACAACCTGGTCTAGTGGAAGGGGTCTCTGCCCATGGAAGGGAGTTGGAACTAGATGGTCTTTAAGGTTCCTTCCAACCCAAACCACTCTATGATCCTGTGAAATAAGTCAAGCCCTGGTCCATGAGGTACTGCAGCTTCAGAACCTTGTAAAACATTCAGAAGTACAACAGGAAGGTAACAAAAGAATTAGGTATAAACAAGCTT